AAAAAAAAAAAAAAAAACCCAGTCCAGTCAAAAATGTTTCCTGGAACATTACAACAGTTACATAACTTTGACATTAAACACAGCAGTCAAAGCAGGCAAGGGTGATAAAAGGAGATGTAAGAAAAATTTAAATTGCATTGCTAATATATCACCGTCTTCAGTTTTAGTCTGAATTATAATGACAAACATTGAATGTAATTCAAAGTCAGCTTATTTGTGCAGCTAATAGCATAGCTTTGCCATAGCTATCTTAGCATCTTACGTATCTCTAAAAAGCACAATTAGCCTCTAAACAACTATGTTTGACATTAATTGTAATTTTGTTTATATCATATTTGCTAATTTGTCAATTTGGTCCTGAGCATTAAAGTATGGGTGAAGAGATGGAAAAACAAAACATTCATGTTTTATTAGATGGTTGGAAAAACAACAAATGGTTCAAGTTTTAGAATTTAGAAATATCAAAACAACATTCAATCTTGTTTTTTTGTTTTTTTTTTTGTTTGTTTGTTCTTTTTACTTTGTTGGTACTATTCAGAGAGCTGTAAGAATGCAAGAATGCTCCTGTAGCTAAATGCTAGCACATACATGTTACAAGAGACTTGGCTGAAAAGCTTCTCTTTAGCAGCCCAATTTTGGCTTTATTTAATTAATCTGTCAACATTTTAAATTCAATTCAAAAAATTAAATATGGATTCTACACATAAAGCCCAAAAGACTTGTATGTTTATTGTTTTATTAATTTTTAAGTAACACTCCTTTGCAAGTGAAACATTTAGCCCACATTTATGTTTTATGTACTCAAAAACATTAACAGTAGCTTCAGCATATGTCAACGTTTGAGATAGTACAAGAAAATTAATTTTTAAAAATCCTCTTTATAACGTAAAAAAGACGGTTTACATCTTAGTCCAAAGTGTGACCATGGTACTGCTTGAAAATTAGATGATATGATTGTAGCCATATCATCTGAATTTAACCAGAGTGATCTCTGTCATATTTCTGTTCAGTCCATGTGGGACCTGAGCTGCTCCACACCTACTCAAACTACTACAAGTACGATATTCTCCTGCTGGTTGTTCGCCTGGCTGTGCTGGCCGCTGTCACACTCACAGTTCCTGTGGTGCTCTTCCCTGTAAGTATTGAGGCTCTACTGTTAATGATCCAGTCAGTCACTAAGACTATGAAGTCCATTGAGCTAATCTTTGTCTGGTTCTGAACAGATTCGTACCTCAGTCGGCCACCTGCTGTTCCCAAGAAAAGACTTCAGCTGGATCCGTCACGCTATCATCACCCTGACCCTGTTAACAGGAACCAACATTCTGGTCATCTTTGTCCCGAGCATCAGAGATATTTTTGGCTTTATTGGTAAGTAACTCCACATATTGATATGTATAATCATCTTTCTAACAATGCTTTATTGACCTCTATGATTAACGGCTCATTATTCCTCCTTCCAGGTGCCTCTGCTGCTGCAATGCTGATCTTCATCCTGCCCTCAGCTTTCTATATCAAACTGGTTAAGAAGGAGTCAATGAAATCCATGAAGAAGATTGGAGTAAGACATTATTAAACATTTCACAATTTTAATCACATTTTGTTTCTGTTAGTAAACTAAATGTAAAATATTGTGTAACAACTTCAAATGAACTGAAATTATTTCTTCCACCAGGCTACGATGTTCCTGATATTAGGATTTGTTGTCATGATTGGCTGCATGTCTCTTATCATCTACGACTGGATCGTGAACTCTATGAAAGACAAAGGTCACTGAAGCTCCAGCTCTTCTGCTGGCGGAGGGGGAAGCTTTCAGAGTCGGACTGCAACAAACACACAGCCAACAAAACCAGTGTGACGAACAAAACAAACCACAAAGACTCACTTGATGCTCGGCTCTGGCTTTCTGAGCAATGGACCGTACCATTCCAAGAGAATATATCTGAACTCTGTACATTTTGCTGTTCTAGACCACAAAGATGGTGTTTCCCTCTTTTTATCATAACTTTTGAAATAGTCTTTTGCTTTTTACTTTTTTTCTGTTTCATTATTGTGGTACAGCTGTAAACAAAAAGGCCTCAAAACACAGACTGAAAATTTGTAGAGTTTCAAACACAGCTTCCTCTCAGGTACAGTGTTATTCGTGGGAGAGTGTAGCTGTGAACTCTGACCTCAGAGAGAACATCCTTCTTAACGAAGTACGTGAATCTCCCAAAAACTGAAACGAAGCCACGGGACTTGAAACTTCACGGACAATTTAGTTTCCTTCGACCTTCGCTTTCTGTTTTTGTTCAACTTTACCAAAAACGTGTCTGAAGCTTCTTTGTATATTCAAAAGCACTTATAGCTGAGGCCATTTGTCAGTTTTCACCTAAACGGCACCTTGTTCAGTATTTCTAAAGTCCTTTGATTTCGCTCATAGTGTCAGCTAGCGAATCTGTGAACAGAACCAGACACTGGGAGGTCTGCAATAGATCTTGTTTGATGGGCGTGTGCAGCAACGACACTACTGCTTCGGGAAGGCCGCCAAGCCTTCCGTTTCCATCCAGCCCCCCCAACTCCTGAGCAGGGGCCACGGAGGGAAACCTAGAATGTTTTTTTTCTTTATGGGAGAATGCTTTGAATTTGACCACATACAGTGGTTGTAATAATATACTTGTTACACTTGTTAAACCGCAACAGCTTCAGCCGTACGAAGTCAGGTGCACTCCTAAACACC